TCTCACATCACGGTGCAACCGCGCTGATGGGTGACATCATGACGATTGGCAGAGATAAATCCCAGCTGAAGTCATTCTCGCGTTACCTTATCAACACCATTCTCAAACCCAGTAAGTCATTCTTAGTTCCACTTCTAGCAAAGCAACCTCATTCATCAACTCGGCAATTTGAAACGAAATCGCTTCAGTTGGTTAACTGCCACAACCAACTTGACCAACGATTGCCTTCAATCAAGTCAACTTGAAGCGCCGAGTTGAATTGATTGCGATGAGTGCAGAGCTGCTACTATCAGCTCTCAAAGTCTTCATTACATGTCCATACTAATAAATTTTACCTTCAATAGTGAAGCTTGCTGGTGTCGTAAGATCTAGCGCGTCCTCAACTGCGTCACCTAGTCCCGGTGCTGCGGCATCGATCGCGCAACTCGCGGCTACTGTGCAGCCGTCAGACAGACGCCTGCAGTCAACTCTCAAATCAATCTGCCTCAAGCGCGATGGTTACCGCTGCACCTTCAGCCATGTAGTCGATCGCGCGAGTTCAGAAAGTCGCCTCGTTGTGCTGCCTGTTGGCGTCATTGCCACTCCCACTCAACTCTCCCATGTCTTGCCGTTGGCTCTTAGAAAGTTTGACAACGCCAGTCCAGCTGCTAGAGATGCGGTGGCCGGGGTCTGGTATGCATTGTACCGCTACTTCCCCGAGTTGGAGGGCAAGATTGGCCCCGATAACCTGAACCAATACGAAAACCTAATCACCTTCGAGTCAACTGTCCACGAGCTCTACGACAGCCACCGGTTGGCATTTGATCCTATTCAGAACCGGGTAAGTCATCTTTGCGAATACCACACGCTGTATATGTTTCGTTCTTTCTCTGATGGATGTGGCTAGCCCAACGAGTACCGGATCGTTGTGCTGTCAAGATCGCCTCTCCTCAACAAACCCCCGCAAGGCCATCGCGAAATCATGACCCTGATCTCCTCAGACAACAGTATTCCGCTCCCTGAGCCTGAGTTCTTCAAGGTTCATCACAGAATCGCGAAAATTCTTGATGTAAGTGGGATTGGGGCAAGGATTGAGGCAGAGATTGAGGATTCTCAGAGTGACCCTGAGAATCTGAGCCCAGATGGTTCAACCGACCTGGAGTCGATTCTATTCCGGAAGATGCTGATCAATGTTTAGAATGTAGATACCCAGCGCGTGGATATCTGAGTCTAAAGGAAGGATGGGTCAGCGTGAACGGGCGGCTTCTGTCGTTAAGAAGCTATGTATGGGCTCAGGATGGGGAACACAAGCTGGACACTGGAAGTAGATGTAGATGCTCAGTCTGACTGTCCTACGGGACAGCAGAGGGTCAAGAAGACTTTGTACGATAACAAGACCAAGACGACGTAATGCATAGTATGAAGGAGATTCAATCAACACACAAAACGCATGATAAGATGGACAGTCTTTGTTGAGTCAGGCATAGCTTGAAGCCTCGAAAAATGGTCGCAGGCTTTCTACCCAAAACCCCCTGACCCCGACTTCTATGGAAGTCAACCTATGGCCTGGCGATACAGCAGGAAACGTCGTCTTTTTCGTACAAATTTCGGATGAGTTGGGCGCGGGGCTCCGGAAACAAGACGCGCATAGAGTGTCAAGACGTGCGGCTTCGCGGGGCATTGTCGGAAGGCATCAATATCCAACATCCAGACATCCGTAAACCCGCTTCGGAAGGAGGAATGCAGCCTGAAAACTTTCTTCCCGGCAAAAATTCCCGTGCAGTCTGCAAATGGGTCTATTCCACCTGCTGTACGACCAACAACGATGGCCAGGCACGCTAGCACATGCCATATGAAGAGGCCGTTGCCCCTCTGGTCTTGCATTATTGGAGGAGGATGCCTGTCGTCCTGGAGGATAGCTTTTTTTGCAGATGGCCTTCGGTGACGGATGCGGCATAGACTCGCGTGACTGCCTTCGAATTGCCTCCGGGAGTGGGACTCGGTGGCCGACGACCCCTCCAACCGCATTTACATACCCGCTGGAACTCGGCGTATCTGTAGTGAAAGCTGCGATGCTACCCGTTACATGGCTAATACTTTGGCGCATATGCAACTTATTACATGGCCGGGACCGTTCTCAACTGCACGAAGAAATCCTCTATGCATGGTCTAAAGCCCACATAGTCGAGATTTGGGGGCCGTTGGTAGTTGGATCGAACCCTCACCCTCTTGATATCGATGCTGTCGGACGTGCGGGTCCCCCGACGTTTCTCACAACGTTGCATGGTCGAGGTTCCGTAGCGAGCACGGTCTAGTCAGTCTCTCGCAGCCGATGATGAGGCAGTTCATCAGATCCCTGAAAAGTGCCCATCCGTAGGCGATCAAGAGGGGCAAATGGCGAGACATGCCGTTCTGTTGCCGCTCCAATCCGCACTCAAAGCCTTCGCCTGGTCCCAGTAAAGAGTTGGGTGGATTCACCGTACGCAGTAAAATGCAGCATGTGTGTAAAGACACTCAAGGAGTGTTCTGAAGTATGTTTCTGCCCCTGTCTGCGGCTTCCTAAGCCTTTGCTTGCATGAGGTCAACGGCTATCGTCTCGAGCGCTGGAAGGGAATGCATCGAGTTGCAGCTTGGCAGCTTGCTTGTCTACAACAGGAAGAAAAGTAGCCTATCGGCAACAGGCCGTGACGATTTTGCCAAAACGTCAAAATCCAATCCACCATGCCAAGTGATGCATACTGACGGGATCTTTGCGTTGGGGAATGCGAGGGGTCAATGACCGAGGAGGCCAATAGATCTCATCAGTCAAGCACGTGGGATATACGAGAGCAGGCATTTGTCGATCCACTCCAACATTTTAGGTGGAGAGTTCAGAGGCGGCTCGCGGCGGGCCATGAGCCGCGGAACGGGACCCTGGACGGAAGAGAAAGGTGGTCAAGGCGGCATTGCGTCTGGCTGCTTTCTACTCCATCGCAGTGCATTTCCGGTGGAGAGAGAGAGAGGGACTGTTGCTGACAGATATTTGAAATTAGTTGAGATGTGATTCCTGGAGTCTTCGTTGGTGGTCATTGTGGTTCAGAACTGTCTAGTCAATTTCAAGAGAAAATTGGTGGAATCTTACTCAGCATTCAGACTGAGGTAGATCAGCGACTTACAGGCTTGGGCCTTGTAGTTACTGGCGCATATTGATTGGACCAAAGTGAGGCCCGCGTCATGAGCCTCTATAATCTATTCTCTCTTAGTTTGCCCGGCTTTTGCAGTGTGGCGGACGGCCCGAAGAAGAGGCGGCACACCAACGGAAAGAAAGGTGTGGTACGAAGTCGTCAAAGGATGCTGAAACTGGCTGCAGGCGATGAAATTTTGCGATGTGGCGCGCGTGAGACATCCAGAATAACTCGGCGCGTGATGTTGTGGCACAGACCGAGAGATTTGGACTGCCTCTGAAGGTAGGACCTACAGGAGGCCCCACCATTTCAAGGCTCACATACGAGTCCCAGTGTCTTTCCGAACATTGTGGCTCCAGCCGGTATCATAATTTGGGAACGTGCCATTGGCGTAAACAAGAATACATCGAACGGCATGGAGAAGTCTACAGACCTAACGGCAATGGATGAGGATATGTTGAAGTCGTAGCCACTCGTCGTACGTGAACTAGAACCAATCTCGATCTGCGCTCGTTGGTATGGCTTAGCACGGCGTGTTGCGTGGTCAGTGGTTATCGACATGGAGGCCTAGCCGAGACCGAGCCAGTAGAAGAGGAGCAAAAGTGCAGAGCGGTGACACGAAGTCTATCTTGTCGCGATAGTGAGACGGCCAGCTGTCAAATGAAGCAAGTGAGCATGTGCTCATCATCTAAGTTAGGTTCGTCCGCTTACGGATGAGGGGGGAATTGGGGGAACCCCGACTGGCATGTTATCTGTGCCGAGCAACGATGCTTCCCTGCGGCGTGGATGATAGCAGCGGACAAGACCAATCATTGAGCAGAGTGCTTTTTAAAGCACAAACTCAGTCATGTCGCAATGCTGGGTTGCCGTCTGCGCTGCATGCAAGCGAATGTGCAAAGTCGCAGTTGCAATGGCGAAAGCACCGAGGAGCCCGGACGCGTGCTGAGCGGGCGGAACTCAATCATTTGGTTGATGGACGAGATGAGACAGGCGGGCAGTTGCAAGTTGCAAACAACCTTCCTCTTCTCCGAAGCGGTCGGTCCCAGTCAAGACTCTGACTTTTAGTAAATGTCTTTTGTCAAACACGGCCGGGTTCCAAAGGCTCAAGAGAATAGCGGGCTCCGACAGCGTTCCGAGTACGGGCGGGACGTGGCGCCGCCGGCTCTGGTGCTGCTTTTTGCCGGGTACAATTAGGCAGGGTTGATTGGGCCGAAGAAGGCAGACAACGCAGACTATCATGATCCGAGAGTAGTCACGGTGTAGTCGAGGCAATCCCTGGTTGCGCTAGAGCAAAATCAGATGCAAAGAGGCAGAGATTTCTTTTTGGGTTTCCACCGGCTGTCCACTTTCAAGGTTTTGGTCGACATGGAAGAGTAGAGTCAGTGGTTGAGACCTTGATGAAAAAATCTGAATGAGTTGGCGCTAATGCGATATCGCGGCGTTACTTTATTGAAGTTTTGGTACGATGTACGATATAGTCGTATGGGTACTTAGAATCAGAAAGCGAAAGGGTGTTGGAGATGGAGACAACTGAAGTGATCCACGGCCGCTTCGGTTCAAAAGTGCATGGAGTTGGAGAGAAGACCGTAGAAGGCAGGAATGGCCGAGAAAAGCAGGAATTGCCTAAGATGAGTGGGAGAGGCTTCCCACCCCGTATCGCAGGCGGCAGGTGCAGCAACGGGGATTCGGAAGCAAGGGCAGGAAGTCCACCTGGGCAGGCAGGACCGCAGTGCGGCAGGGCCAGGGGTAGGTCTCCGTAGTACCGTACCGCACCTCCCCTGACAACCTGAACATCAACTTGTTGCTCTTGCGAATCGATAGGGAGGGGAAGGAGAGAATGGGCAAGGTGGGCCCAAGATGCGGCATGCCTGCCCTCTAGCTGCACCTCATACAGAAACGGCAGCGAAACAGCATTTGGTGCTGCAGGAGCATCATTGGGTGGAGGGAAGGAGGGAGACAAGACTTGGCAGACATCTGAAGTCACCTCCAGAGGCTCCAGGCGCAGACGACCGTCTCAACCACCTCAAGGCTCAAGCCCCCAACCTCGAGTCGCGGCTCGCCATGATTGATGCTATTGTCGCAATTGCAACAGCAACCTCAAGGGTAATCATACACCGCCATACTCCGTGCCAAATCGAACCTCTCACTATCTTTGCCAATACATGCGCAATCCACATCATTCTGGCCGTTGTCGGACTTGGCCATGCAGAGTCACGTTGGGTGCGGCATCGATCAATCGTCGTTGCTTAACCGTCGTCATGCCTGCGAGTCTGCGACCTGGAGGAGGGGACGGGACCCTGAAGGAAGCAACGATGGTAGCTTATCCAATTGCTCCGAGTCTCCTCCCTCCTGCAGCCGATGACTGTGCCAATGTGCTAACGATGGCCTTGCAAGCGGAGACCTGGGGAGCAAGGAGTCACGATGCCCACAACTACGTATAATTGAGGCCCGTCATTATCATCATGGTGGTGCTAGCTTGCCTTATGTAAGGAGTCTAACGTGCCATGGGTGCTTGGCAGAGGTACTGTGTATTGATACTCTCTCTGCAGATTGTTCCCTCGTGTGGCGGCTAGCGGCGTCATAGAGACGAGGGGCTGCAGCACCAATTGATTCTGCTGCTGCGAGCCAAGACGTGACATGGCAAGCGTCCAAGGCATCGCGTCTCGGAGCGAGCCCAAGTGAGTATTCTCTCTGCCGGTATGCGGCCAGCCGTAGCTCGGTGTCGGCGCAAAGATTGGGAGAGGGAAAAGAGAATGGGCAACAAGACAGTCGACAATTGAAGAACAAAACACAGTAGGTGCTGTCGAGTGCTGATGTTGCGGAAAAGGACCCGCCCATTCCGCGCCTCCCCTCCGTGATACCTTAAGGTACGTTACCGATACCGGTACCTAAGGTAGGTATATACCGGAAGCAGGGCCGCGGCCATTATCTGTGAGGCATGTTCCTTCCCAACCCAGAATCCTGGGCAACACATTCATCAACGCATCCAACCATACCGACGTAGAAAGGGACCATACTTCGTGTGTATACATACGCGGTACACCACGCCTTCCCAGCCATGCATGTGCAATCCATCCACTCGGATGTGCGAATGAGGGCGAGTGCAGTCAAGATTGGGTCTGGACTGGCGAGAAAAGCCTGCAATTGACCCGATACGCTGCACAGCACTTCCCTCCTGCCTTCAGCGAATGTGCAGTACCATGGAATCTCTGTATTCATGTACGGATACTTACTTTCATTGGCTACATACCTACCTACCTTCCTTGCGCGGGATGTATCCGTACCTGTTCCCGTCCCTGTTCCTGTTCCTGATTCTGTTCCCAAGCCAAGGAAGGTATCGTTACCAGCCTAGATACCAGACCTACCTGCCCTCGTGGGCCGCAACCTCTAGACCACTGATGTCCAGTCGACTTCCCACACGCCCAAACGCCGATGCCGTATCGCACCTATCGCAAGCCACCCCGGACCGTGAACAAGGACTTGGCCTGAAAGATCCATGCAACCAGACCCTTCACTGCCTCTCGCGCCCCCCATCTTCCCAGTGCTCCCCCATCTCTTCCTCCACCATCGTTCTGACACTCCCCTCCCCTCTCAAGCCTCTCCATCTCATCATATCCCTGTCACCCTTTTTTATCAAGGCAAGCGCCCCGGTTCTGGCCAGTGTCTTCCCAATCTCCATGTATTTAGACTTTGGTCCGTCTTTGCCCAGACAACTCATCATAGCCCAAGTACTTCCGCAATTCTTCAACCGCCTTCTTCCGTCGTCTATCCTTTTCTTGTCTTCATCTTTTCAGGAACCGACCAGAAAATCTTCTGCCCTGCACATACACCCGATCGCTTGCTGAACATATCTGTCGACGCTGGTCCATCCTCTTGCACTTGGACAAATTGACCGACCGAGTAATTGTCATTGCGTCATCCCAACCCGCCCAACTGGGCTCTTATCTCTGCCACCACACCCAACGTCCCAGTCCCAAGCTGGAAATCGACTAAATACGAGAATCCGCGCCGTCGCTTCCCTACACCAACCGAGCGCACCGCACCCTCCCGATCACCTCCTCCCACGCAATTGGCGACGATCCCTTCGCAGGAGACTTCAAGGATATGAAATACGGCGAACAGCTCGAGCAGGAATCCGTTCCAGAATGGAGTTTACGTGGGTTGCCCCGTTCCATTCAGTTCATGCAGAACCCAATTGGCACGTGAAGGCGATTCCAGCTGACCGGTAACTTTCGCCAACAGATAACGTCGACTACAACTCGCTCAAGCACGAGATCAAGGTTCATACGAGCCGCGACCAGGCGACCGCAATCGCCATTCCCGGTCACCAAGATGCTGCTCTCAAGCGTTTCGAAGATAACCTCTACCACGAGCTTTGCCAACAGCACGACCGGGTTGATCTTTTTGTTTCCAGCAAGGCGGACGAGCTTTCGCGTCGACTGCGTAAGTCCATGATCGATCGAAGAGTCTGTTGTGTACGGGACCCAATTGGCTGACGCAAGATCCAGAATACATCGCCGATCAGCTTCAAAAGTTGATTGTCAAGTGTGCCGAGGAGGGTGACCGTATTTCGATCAAGCGGCATCGACGGTTCGCCAAGTACGAAAGGGATCTGCTTCGTTGCGGAGAAGAAACACTTGCGCTCGCTCGTTTCATCAACGCCCAGATTACGGCTTTCCGGAAGATTACGAAAAAGTACAAGGTGGGTGTTGCACACTCTATCATCCGCAATTGTGCCGTTGCTGATTTGCTTCTTCAAGAAATGGACAGGATCTTCCACACTCGGCGCACGCTTTCGCGAAAACGTACTCGCCAACCCTAAGAGCTTTACCCGTCGCGACCTGAATAACCTCCAAACACGTTACGAGGAGTTGCTCAACACTCTCCGTACCTCCACGCCTCAGTTGAGCGAGCCCAGCTCGCCCTCCTCCGATGAACAGACACCCACGAGGCGAGGATCTACCGCAGAGAGTTTCTTCACGCCTTTGCCACCAGCAGAGCGAATTCCTCGGAGGCCCATCCAGCAGCAACAGCAACAGCACTACTGGAATGAGTATGACGATGGCAGCGAGAATGGTGGACAGGAGGAGGAATACGCCATTTATATCAACCCTGACGCAGACATGAGCTTTCCCGGCCTGGACTCGATGCGCGCGATTCTTGCCGCGCCCTTCCGCCACGCAAAGACGTGGTTTTCAAGGCGGCAGAACCCTGAGGGGCAGCGACTGTTGGCCAGCGAGCCCTTCCTCCAAAGCTACGGCGGCATTTCACCACTTGGCACGGATACCGACGACGAGTACGCGAGCTCTGATGGTATGCCTACGAACGGATATGCCACGCATTATGCTACGCTACCCAGCATTAACGAGCAGCAAGTGCGGCGGTACCGCGAGCGCGTTTTGTTCTGGGCCACCATTGGCTGTTTCGGCGTATCTTTCCTACTACTCCTTGTGGCTGGTATCCTCATTTCAACGGGCCGCCACAAGCTACGCGCAGAGGTCGACGCTGGCGTGACAGTTGGCGTCGTGGCCAGTCTCTTCAGCGCCTGCCTCGCCTTGGGCATGTCGCTTTATCGGCACGATGATTTGGGCATCTGGCAACGTGTGGCCGTGTATAGCAGCTTTTTCACAGCCTGCATGCTCAACGGTATGCTACTCATCCTTGTTGTGGGGAATGCAGCATAGCGTCCCCTATCTTTTCTTACTGTTTTGTTTACTTGGGCTGGGTTGTCATGACCCATGTTTGAGTCCTTTCCTTTGTCCATTGATTACATGCATCGGCGACTGGGAGAAATAGTGGAGGGGTAACTTGAATTTTGTGGGACTTGTTTTTATGTCTCTGAAGCGAGGTGAGGAATTTTGACAACCTTGAGGAAAATTCCCAGGAGCGTTTGTTTTTTTCTTGAAATCAGAATACCGGCCGCATCACTGCACTGCCCGCCTGTTTGTTTTTCCGCCCCCAGATACCATAAGAACATCAATACCTATTAGAATTGGGCAAAACTAATGGCTTTACCTCATCTCGGCGCCTCTTGACGATTTGGCCATCGTCCAAATTCCGGTGAGAAATGACTGGGGATCCGTAGTGCCGTGCCCGACCGATATTGATATTGCAGGGATGGAATTTTCTCATGATTCAGATGAATGCCATCTTTTCTTCTTCCCTCTATAGTCCATGATGATGGGTGATGTGTAGTATCCCACAAAGATCTCTGTTGTTTCATTTCCCCCCCAGTAGTGGCGGCGTCAAGGTGGCGGTCCGTTAACATGTTCCTCTTGGCCGGTTCCGGCATAAACCAGTCAGTTCCAGAAATAAACTGAACAGAGACAAGCCAAAGGGCCAAGAGCATGCCTTTGCTCGTTGGCCCCACCGCGAGCCTGAATGCGAAATGTCTGAGACAGACGGGGGGATAAGAGCTTGGGCAGAGAGAGTAACACAGCAGGTGAGTGACCCTGCGCGTTGCACTCGGCTGAGGGCTGCTGGAACAAAAGTCTCCCAGACTGGAGATGCCGTTGCCGCTTGGACGGGCAACATGTCGAAAATCCCACCCAGCCAGCTTCTCCTCATCCCAACTGCGGCCCATCTTGATGGGCAAGTTGACCCGAATGTCGCAAAAGCGCAGAAAAGGCACGTGCAAGGAATTTGTGGGGCTTGCTTTTGCTTTCCAGCATAAGAGCTACGTGGGCAACTAATGACACGATGAGAACGTTGCGCGCAGCCATGGAGTCGAAAATCCGGGTTGGAACCGCTTCGTCGATTAACGGCATGGGCCGTTTTTGGCGCAAAGAGGGGTTGCCTCATTATCCTCTAGAGGCAGTCTAGGCACTGGTCGTAAGATAAAGAGCTATGCGACGATACATCTGGCGCAGAATTGATATGCAGCAACTCCAAACTTAGCCTCTCTGCTTCATCGTGGAGAGTTCGATTTACGAAAACCCGCCCAGATCCGGAGTGCAGAGTCTAGCCCCATTACGAGCAAGTGCTTGGAGAGCATGACGGCGCCAGCTTCTGCCCTTTAACATCTGCAAAGTCCCTTGTTTTTCGCCTTTCAATTCTGAGAATCTCCCAAATTTAACGGTTGACCAGCAGAATTGCTTTTGTTGAACCCCAGCAAGTTGGTGATTGGCGAAGTGCCACGACCTAATTGCAAATAGCCCGCAATCCTTGATAGTTGAGCGTACCGTCCTCAATCCTTTGGACATTCGTACAAGAATGAGGCTGTCTGTTGCAGGAAATCGCTCAACACTGTGCCTCCAACGGCTATGGAGTTCTCCTTGTATCGATTTTCCAAGCAATGCAGCCATAGCCTTGCGAAACTCGTCGGGCATTCCTCAGCGCACAGGCGGCTCCCCTTTCCCCGCTATGCAGTCAACGGTGCTGCAGCTGTTGCCGGTGTTTGACGGAGAGCAGTGACTTGAGACTCGAGTCTCGCAAAAACTTGCTGCAGACTGAAGCGAGAATAGGGTTCATCGCAAGCCTCATCCGTGAGCTCTGGACCGGTCGCATGGAGGATGACGAAGTGTTGTCATGCGATGGTGCGTGTGATCAACACAGATCGCCCGGGGGCTGGCGAAGGCTGCGGACCTTCCTCAGTTCATACTGCAATCCTTTGCAGAGAGCTCACGGTAACACGGCTGACGCTGCCGCCAGACGTGGATGTATAATTTGACGTTTCAACATATACACATGAATAGTAAAATATGCCGGTGACATCTCGAAGCAGTGCGATGTGTCATCTCCACCGCCGCAGGCTCTGTTCGGGCGGAGTCGAATTTTGGTGTCTTCCGAGGGGCTGAGCTTCAACTCATTCTGGAGCCGAATAATGTCCGCAAGTCATATTTCCGAGGGTACATCTAGACAAGTTAGTCTTCAAAGCTCTCAGCATGCTTGAACCTATGGCGGATTGCTCACTTTTTGCACATTTTGACGCCGGTGCTCCTCGCTTCGTGGACCCTATCGAACTCTTCCAAAAGCCATCCTGTGACAAAGAGTTAGCAAATCGTTCTCTCTTCACGCCGTCAGAGATCATACGAGAACAGGCCCATCTTTTAGCTGTGCTCTCAACGTTCTGTCTAACTTCCGCCATGAGGGAGTCTGCGCCTTCTATGAGAGAGTCGTAGTGAAACAGAAGTTGCATCGTATGAAAGAGAGCGTATGGCCAAACCGCAGCGCAGTGTTCCAAGACGTCATCGCGGTTGGAATAGGCGTTGAAGATGCCATTGGAGCCATCAAGCACGAGACCAATCGTGAATTTGATACCGGCAACTGCCTTCTTCATTTCCATATCTGTCTCTGGATCACGGGCAGGCATCCCTGGTCTATTGGCAGTATACAGGAAAGAGTAGAAAAGGAGGCAGAACAAGCTGTGGCAGTCTTAACATATTTCCAACCGCATCGGCGACTAGCAACGTACCTAGCGCAAAGAGCATAAGTGTTGAGGTTCTCACTCCAAGTCTCGGATCGGGTGATAAGAGCCTCAATCAGATCTCTCGTGGCGGACTCAAGCTGAACAAACGAGTAGACAGTCGGAGGCTCTTCGATCTCAGCATTTGCCGCCTCCCAGTTAACGGCGTAACCGAGAAGAATGGCGGCCTGGCAAGACCTCTGAAAAGCGCCGACGCGCACCGATGCTGGGATTGTGGTAGGGTACCGCTTGATCATCTTAACAGGCCCGTTTCTGTCATTGTCCCAAAGGATGTGCTCCGTTGGCAGAAGGTCGTCATCGGAGGGCATGTCCATCTGGAGCGGTGTCCAAAGTGTTGCGGATTGCTCATGGGAGATCCTAGTCAAGTAAGCAAAGACACTGGTGAAAGACACCAAAACGCTCTTACTTGTCCATAATCACAAGAACCCACCACAGAGCTCGATTTTGTTCTTCTTCGGGCTCAGCAGCCAGGTCCTCTTCTTCTTCCACATATTTACCCGGTCTCAGATTCAACACCTTTCCGATGGAGGCCGCCTCGCCGAATGTACGATAGCAACGAGTGATGTCGCCGTGCCCCAACTCGTACAATGATAACAGAACACCACACTGAACGTGCTCGATTTTAGGTTTCGAAAAGGCTTTCCTCAATGTCCATATACGCTTGGCCGACTGGTAGAGCGGATGATGAAGCATAGCGGTGGACGAGAACTCGTCGCAGTTCCAGATAGTTAAGAGATGGATGCACAATACAACCAACGCCAAATCAGAATCGTTGGGGTTGCTGTCAAGCTGAGCCGCGGCACAACGTATTTGCCAGACCTCCGGGTGGATCACGAGGAGCCAGGTGTTGACGGTGTTGAAATAGGTGTTGATGGAAGCTTTCCAGTCGATTCCGTTACCGTTCAAAAGCTGCATTATCTGACCAGCAGTGAAATCAACCTGGTTGAGCCAGTCAAAGGCAGGCCGCGCGTCGCCGTTGGAAGAAGAAGAGGCATTGCCAGCGGCGCCCTGCGAATCAACAATGGTCAGGGATGGCGGGTTGACGACAAAGTCGTAGCAGCAGTTGGTGGTGAGTCTGCAAGGATAGTCAGAATACCTCGGTGTTGACAATTTTGGCAGGGGCAACCTCTCTTTTCTTGGAGGAAGAAAAAAAAAACTACTCACCTGGTGCATCTAGAGCAAGCGGGCAGACCTTTGTCGCACTTCTTCTTGGTTCGGGTGCATTTTTCGCAAGCGCGGTGGGCGCGGGGCGGGGCGTCTGCGGCAGATTGGTGACTTGAAGACGACGACAACCGATTTGTGTAACGCGAAGTTGAGTTGACGTTGTCAGAATCCTCGGACGGCGGCGTCACGGCAAGGCGTTGGACCTGTCTCGCCATATTATCTATCGTGCGTCTTGGTAGTCGCTACCTCACGGATGTTATATTTCCAAAGAAGCGCGGGTGCCGCCAAAGGGCAAAACGACGCGAAGAGATAAATTGACGCAAGAGATGGTGGAAGCAGAGTTTCGTTGGTGCGAGCCTGGGAGGGTCAAAGGAAAAACGAATTTTGGATGTGTCCCACCACGAATTCGATTCTGCAGAAAGTTGTCGGCAGGGACAGCACAGCAGTGAAGTGGACTATCCGCGAGGTGATTAAGCACAGCCGATCAATGCATGCAGGACCGGCAGCGGCAACAGCGAGCGACGGCAGCGGTAGCAAATGCAACGGCAGAGGCAAGCCTAAGGTAGCTTAGACAGATGAGGTCTCGGGGATGTTTGGATTTGTTGGATTGGAGCTGGGCTGAGGATTATTAAGGTGAGGTAGGCGCAACCACAAGCTACGGATACCTACCGCAAAGGAAGTGTACGGAGTACTTCCATTGCGTACCCGTACGGGAAAACACTAGTGTTGAATTGCTAGCCGTTCTCTCAACTGCGATGCTCCCTACTAGTGCCGCATGCTCCACAGGTCCAGACTCTCCGCGAGTGGCCTCTTGTAGCCAAGAAGGGACTCAAATGGAGGGGGGCAATGGGGGGGAACAAGTCAACCCAAGCGGATCCTTCCTCGATACAGTCTTAATCCCGGCCCCGCTTACCACTCGACGGCCGCTGAAGATGGGCACACATCTTCAACCATGTTCAATGCTCAATGCTCAATGCTGTCCATGTTGTTGCCGCCCATGTCACTCGTCTCTTTGTTCAAACCATGGAGGCACATGTGTAACACGAGAACGGCGAACGGGAGACAACTTGGCAGCCTCGCTCTTTGCTCAGTAAACAATGACGACTCACGACAGCCAAGCCCGCAGGAAGGTAGGTATTGGGGACGGTTGCGATCAGCAAGAGCCGGCTTGTTTCCGTTTCTTTCTTCCAGCCCAGCAGTCTGTCCTTGTGTGGCGGCTACATCGGATAATGATGTCTGACGCTGTTCAGTCTTGGCCAGGCGACGCCGTGAGGGCCAGTTTCTGACTGACACTCGCAATCAAAGACACAAATGTTCTAGCCAATGGAACAAAACATTCTCTGCACATCTAGATGACTGCACTATACCAAAGGTACATACCGAAAGCCCGGGTTCGAGACTTGTGGCCAGCAGCGGCAGATTCCAGATTCCAGATTCCAGATGCTTGAGTTCTTCCCTTCCAATTGACAAGGGAATTCGACAAGATGGGAAAGATAAGCTACGGTACGTATTCTTTCTCGGCACCTGTCGTGCTTCCTTCCCGAGTCTTGTCTCCTCCTTGCTCCCGATCAGTGATCACTGCCCATTATTGCCTGCCATATCCACACGTTCCGTCCACATGTGCCCCAATTGCCCCAATCATCTCGGGTGTCACCTGCTGAGCTGCGCTTGGGCCCTCGACATCGATATCTTACATAATCCACAGTCTTCTGCATTCGTACTAGTGTCACCCTCACCCATTATCCCATCACCGCAACGGACATGACCTCCGCCAACCAACAAGGACACCATCAACATTTACCACCGATTGCAGCCAGATACTATCAACATCTTTTGTGTCCTATGTCTCGGTGTGAGACAAGCCAACAACGAAAATAGACAAGACAGTTACACGCAGCCTGGTAAGACGAACACCTCGCAATCTTCCAGAACCAATCGAAACATGCTAGAATCATCTCAACAACCCGCATGCGCGACCGCGACCGTCGTTACCCCCGAATCCGGTCCGGAAGAGTTGAGCAATGACGTGCCGCATCGCCTCGAGTCGTCAGCAAGCCCCATGTGTCTTCACCGCAGTTCCCTCACGTAGGGCTGACACGATGGATCACGGCGCCCAGGAAAAGCTGCCCATGCCTTCCTTCATTCTGACGACCCCTGGCCAAAGGGACCATTCAAGCCAGCGACGGCTCCTCATCCGACGTTACACACGTTACACAGCATTTTCTGTACCTATTCTCTCGGAACTTTCGTGCCCATTTCCAAACTTCCACCGTTACTTCCCTTTGTTGTGGCTAGATTCCTCTTGACGTCGACGATTGGTCATGCGGACGAACTTGAGCCCGCCTTACGGCTTACGGGAACGGATTATTTTGGAGATAACGAAACGGTTAAAACCAGATTTCTGGGTGTCGGCCATGACGGAGTCGGGCATCTTCTTTCCAACCGTCCCGTCTCCTCCACTCCCTCCCACCGTAGGCACCGGAGGACGGGAGCCACGGCTTGTTCCGCGTGGATTCTGCAAGGATACAGTTGGTCAGCTTCGCGGTCGCAGACTCCCAAGCTGCACCGCTTCCACATTGACGCGACATGAGCCTTTCACCAGGGATCCGAATCCTACCCCCAACCTCTCTAGCGACGTGCAGCTTTTCGGGGGCCAAAACTGCTAAACATGGCCGGCACATGAGGAGTTGGTGTGCTGTGAAGGACAAGCTCCACTTGTAGCCGATGACCTCCGCGGTCCTCGGCCCGGGGCGACACTCTGCAAGGTGGGAATTCGCCCGACAAACGTGTAGTATGCTTCGGCCGTGTCCTCGGCCGACCGGTCTCCGCATCCGGATGCTGCCAGTCGACCCGGCGCGTTACGCCGGACCAGTTCTGAAAGACCATGACTGGGATCAAACATCCAATGCTCCAAGGCTATTCCCCTGCAGATGCAGGAACTTTTGGAGCAGTTTCCCCGCGTTGCGTGCTTCCCGGTTGAGTCATTCGGCTTGTTAGTGCCAACAAGCCAAGGAACCAACTTCTTTCGCCCTTGCGATGACATACCGAAGACCTTCAAATCGCGACGCTTCCCATGATGTTGTCTGCAGGACCTTATCCCGACTCGATCTATTTTCAGACCACCTGTCATACCAACAGAATTGGACACGGCACATTTCTTACTCTTGCCCATCATCCCATCTAGCAACCGGATTGTGTCATTGTTTTCGTCCCCCATCAGCCAATTGAATGATAGTTTCGCACCGTCTGTAAGTCTTTTACCCACTTTTATCGTATCGGCTTCGGCTTCGGCCTCCCACCAGACCTTCATACCTTCCGCTAGACACTACATGACCACTTCCCAATGATCTCGTTGAACCTTGGACTAACAAACTTACAAGCCCTCAACAACACTTGGAAACCCCGGAACAATGTCTAAGCCACAATTCCGCATCCGCCCAGGAACCTCCGCCGACACGGCAGCCATCGTAGACGTCTACATGGCCGCCTTCGGCAACGACTGGGCCGTCGACAAGATGCACCCCCGACGCCGCGAGTTTCCCGAGGACTGGCGCGCCGCCGCCTACCGCTACTTCTACGCGCGCTACTGGGGTCCCGAGCAGCAGCTGTTCCACGTCCTCACCGTTCCAGACCCCGACTCAGCCTCCGGCGAGCGCGTCGCCGCGTTCAGTTGGTGGCGCCGCCCCTACCCTACCCCGGCCGAGAAGGCCGCGACCGAGGGCTACCTCACCCTCCGCGGCTGGCTGAAGCCCATCTTGCTCGGCATCAACTCCCTCACGGATTACCTCTGGCCTCCGAGGTCTCTCGACCCGGCCATGCTCACCATCTTTGACGACACGCACATCGCCTCGGACGTGCTGACGCAGGACCCGGAATACCCGGCGCGCAAGACGGCGTGGTACCTTTCGACGCTGGCGGTGGCGCCTGGCGATCAGGGGAACGGGTTCGGGTCGCTACTCGTCCGGGAGGGACTGGCGCAGGTGGACAAGGAAGGCGTGCCGGCGTGGCTTATCGGGCTTGTCGGGGTTGAGCCGTTCTATCAGAGGCTCGGGTTTGTGATCAAGGGGCGGGCGAATGTGGGGAGGCTTGCGGAGTGGGATGGCGGGTCAATTATGTTTAGGGAGTAAGAGAAAGGTCTACCTTGGACTCTGGAGGTTGAAGCTTTGCACGGCTTCTTGGGTCAATGGAATTCATGAATGAGACGACGTATAGATGAACTCACGGGGTGTATAACTTTATGATATTGAGAGCGACGGGGATTTACTCTTTGATATCTAGCGTTTATAGAAGAGTTGGAAGAGAGCAGACAAACACAATGCTGCAACGGCAGTTTGTGCGGTTTGCATGGGCTCATTAATCATACCCAAACCATCGGGAGAGAGACCTTTTGTAGGGTGAACTTTACATCTCAACACCCTTTTCCATCCTGTTACAGATAGGCTATTGTTGTGATTGTGCTTAATCCTACACGAAACTAACCCTCCTATAAAAGAAAATACAAAAAGAAAGAGGCGCATTTTATTTACTGAGCGTCAAGTGAAAGTCCTCTAGAGTTGTTGTAAGTGGTGATGGTACAACTCGAGCTTGTGGAGGTCAAGTCCTCTAGGTTTACCTTTAACCTATTCTGTCTCGAGGATAGGTTTACAGGTGGTGTAGTGGATTGCGCCATTCTGCTGTGAAGAGGGAGAGAGAGCTCTAGAGGGGTCGGGGTTCGGCACTCTTTTCCAGTAATGTACTACTTTACCTAACCTTTTCGGCGAGATATTTGCCAATAACCACCCATCGAGAATCGATCAAGGCAGATTTGCAAGACGGAACGACATCAGACAATGTGAATCGTCCAAGTTTTCCACAGGGGTAGCCTCGGAATCATGCATTCTCTCCCTTGATCTATTTCCCCCATTATTCATCTATCAAAAGAAGACACAGCCAACCACGACTTCATTGTTTGGCTATCACATCACATCATTTCACACCAAGGCGTATGGGAAGGATCTTAGCTTAACTGCGTATTTCATTAGGCTGAGCTATCTAAGCGTTCAAAGCCCTTGCAAGACGAAGCGTTATCAAACGAGGTTCAAGGAAAGTTTTTTTGGTTTCGCGTCCGCTTCATTCCGCCCTTCAGCCATCTTCCATACTCTCCTCCGGTTCCCTTTCAGATCTAGTCGTCTTTCCACGTGACAACTTGTCGTTGCTCTGCGACTTGGACTGATTCGTGAGATGTAACGACCCACTGTCAAGAGCGTGAAAGAAGTCAGGGGAAAGAAAAGAAAGAAAGTTGGAGGGGAAAACCGTTCCGCAAAACTGACCAATGGCAGAAAACTGCAGAAGAGCTGGAGACGGGTAGAAGCGAAGAGAGAGGAAAACGCGTTGGAGGCAAAAAAGAAGAAAAAGAAAAAAAAAAAGCAAGAACCGGAAAAGCCAACGCCGTTTTCAGGTCCATACTGAATCCCAAAACCCAGTCCCTTCCCATCCGTCCGTCCGCCAGAAGAACCCACCCAAAACCGCCGACAGCCTCCGTCCGTATTCGTACAAATGCCAGTTCCACTCCCTACCATCACCCGAGTCGTGCTTCCAGATCGACTTTGCTAGAGGAGCAAAGAGTCGGAAATAGTGAAAGAGTTGCCCTGGCCATCTAGGACTTTCTAAAAAAGAAACCCAAAACCGACCCCCGAGTTTTGCTTGTGTCAAGCGTGTGCCGTTGATCCGTGCGATGTCCAGTCATCCATCATTCGATCGTTGCCAGGGCTGCAGGTACGTGGCCAAGCCCTTGCCGAGAGAGAGAGAGAGAGAGAGAGAGAGAGATAAAAGAAAGTCCGTGGTGTACAATGTGAATTTTGTTTTCCGCTATTCCTCATGCAAAAACTGGCCGTGCAACGAGAGGAGGAAAAGAGAGAGAGATAGTTAAAGAAAGAGAGAGGTGTAGGAAAACCAAATGACCGCTTGCCGTCCCCCAATGTTGACTCCGATTTTGATGCCGTGTCGACGTGACATGAATGCGGGTATAAGGAAGGCCGTTTCAAAAGAGTGCTTGTTTCTTGTCTCGATCTCGGATTGCCCCAATCAATGACGGGTGCCGTCATTCATGGACTGCATGGGCTGCATGGGTTGCATAGGCTGCATGGGCGGGGTGGCGTACGAGGAATGGCGCGAGTGCTCGGGAGTGCGATCATAGCCCTGCTGGTTTGGGGCCACCGCGAAGCCGTGCGCAGAAGGAGCGCGGTGCATGGCACGGGGTGCGTTCGGAGTGCTCTGGTGACGGGTGTGTCTGTTGGCGCCAACGGGACCAAGGCGAGCGGCGGGATTCGGCTGGAACGGAGAAGCGCCGTAGGCGTACTGCCGCTGAGGATCCTCATAGTAGTTGGGCTGAGCAGCCTGGGCGAATGGGTTGTCGTGAGGACGAGGGTAGGTGCCATCGTACTGGTCTTGCGGCTGCTGTTGCTGCGGCTGCTGATCAACCGGGTTGGGGGCGTATCCGTAAGGAGCGAAGCCCGAAGACGAGTTGGGTCGGTACGTGGGAGCCTGTCCCTGGTGGAAGCCTCCGCCAATCTCGCTCTGAGATCGCTGGTGGTATGCCCGGCGAGGGTCAGGATAGGTAGGCATGGTAGTCGAGGTCTCGAGGTGAGAGGCCATGGACTTGCTGCCGCGACGCTGGGGAGTGGGGGCAGGGAGGGGGCCGCCTTGAGGACCGCCGGCACCGAAGATGAAGGGGCCGGAGCCCATCTGGGGCTGGCGGTAGTAATCCTCCTCAGGATGGTTCTCGCGGATGTTGCCAAAGGCAGGGCGGTGCGGGATGTTCATGCGACGCATGCCAGACGGAACTCGAGGCATACCGGGAATCGCATTGCGATCCTCGTAGAAGCCGGCTAGAGATATATCAGTATTCTGGACCCAGTTTCCGGATGAGAAGGTGTGGTTACTGTCATGGCCCCAGTAGGCATTGGGCTGGCTGACACGTCTAGCCATAGGCATTGCCTCGGGTCTCAAGGCGACACCCATCGACTGGGAACGCTTATGAGCAGCGCCGCCGCTTGTCTTGCGCTTGAGGTAGGTCTTGGGCTTCTCATCGGGGCCGTCGCTGCTGATGGTGGGGAGGATCTCGATGTCGGGGATCTGGCTCAGGCTGCCACCGTCGATCTCGGTCTTCAGCTGAGCGACAATCTCCTGAATAGCAACAGTGGTGTATCCAGCACCGCACTTGCTGAGGAGCCATTCGGGGACGGCAGTGCCGTTGAGCATAGCACCGTCGAGCTGCTCGTCCTCGGACTCATCTTGGTAGGCACGCTTCTTCGACTCCTTCTTGTCCTCCAATCGCTTCTGCTCTCGCTTGCGGATGGCAAGAGACCAGCTGTTCACCACGCCTGCCTTGCCAGCTCTCTCATTCTCGTCGCTCCACTGCTGAACTCTGGCGATCTGCTTTTGAACAAGATCGACCTGGAGCTTTGAGTACTCATGGGCGTTGCGGTAACGGCTTCGCTGGTAGTGCTTGCGGCAGAAATGAACCCAGACGTGGGCGGGAATCATGCGGGTGCAGAGCTTGTTGCGACCAAAGATGTGCGAGATGGCCTTGCGAGGCTGAGATCCAGTGTCGCAGTTCTCGATGTACATACACTTGATCTCGTCGCTGCCCGACACGGCAGGGGGAGAATCGGGAGGCGACATACCGAAAGGTTGCTGCTGTTGCGGTGGGAAAGGCGCTGTTTCTGAAACCGAAGGGAAAGGTTGGAAGGTGGGCGCAGAAATAGCGGCAAAATCAGGCGCGGAAACAGCCCTTTTGTGAGTTCTTGAAGATTGATCTTGCGGTAATGATAGGTAGTTGAGGTTGTCTTGTTGTTGTTTTGAGTGAGGGCTATTGCTCGATGTAATCAGTAAAGAGTCCAGCTCGGAATGGAGTTTAAGTAATATTGGGCGGTCTGAATTGTTCGGAGAAAGTAGAAGGAACGAACGATCTCGTTTGTTTGGAGGAAGAACGGAGGAGTTGTGTGATGGAGAGGAAAGGGGGAAGAGGGATCGAGTCTCCGAACGGTGATTTAAATAGGCTGGAGAAGGAGGATTATCGTGATGCTCAAGGCGGTCTCAAGGTGGTGAAAGGGAATTCGATGTGAATCACAAGGCCTCCTTGGACCGCAGATTCGATTCACAGTCAGATGAAAGGGAAGGAGCGACCCGGTCAGGTCACGTGTGAGATCGCAGTTCGATGTGAAGTTCATTCACGTGAGGTCGAGGCTATCGTGAGGTGAATGAAGAGGGTGAAGTGAAGATACGGTAGGTAAAGTGAAACGAATAGTAGTTGGTAAAATAAAATCAGGATAGGGGAGGTGCGATTGAGTTGAGCCAGGTGATGGAAAAGCGCGATCTGGAGAGTTGAACGCGGACTGCTCCTGGCCAGCGATCTCTTTCAAACTCAAGACTCATGAGATCGAGGGCGAGATTTGGGAATGAGTAAATCACAAAGCGCATATTTTCACGTACCTCAAACCATCAGTTGGACTTGATCGGTTGCTACCACCCATACCTCTGGTGATCAAGATAGCATCTGACGGACTGCCTGGTCGCCCAGTCCCCTTCATTGCGGGATCCAAAGCTACTGGATCATGTTGACCCATCGTTCGTGGGGATGGAGGCTGAACATCAATCATGCCCGGGCCACCCATACCCTGCTGGTGATCGAGTTTTGTGTCAAAAGCCGGTACGTCGTTCAACAGGGACGTGAACGGCTGAATGCCGCTCACAGTAGATAAGGAGGATATCCTCGAGTGTCCTCCGGATTGATTTGAGGAGGTGTACGATGACAAACTGCTGTGGCTGTCGGAGAACTTATGTTTCGGGGATTTGGGAAATCCTCCTGTTACGTGGTGCCCATCATCTTCGCGGGGGAGGTTGGGCCTGGACGAGATTAGAATCTACAGGTAAAACGAGAGCACCTTTCTGTAGCATGGAGACTCTTGCAATTCCGACGAGATAATCCCGTGGAAACACAATCGCCTTTCAATGAGGTAAGGCCAGCGCAACGGCAGGGAAGACGGCGCCAAGTACTTGCCTTGCTGTTAGTTGAGCATCCGAATCACCGGAAATGCTAGTCCTTGGAAATGTTAGCCGCTGTGTACTATTAAGGACGATAGTGGAAACTGTCAGGAGCCCAGGCAACCTCCCAAGCTGGCTCACCTTCGGCTAGTCGCAACATGAAGTTGCGACTCTGGCTCGCCTAGGTATGCCAGGCTTCGCGAGGGAGTCAGTCTACGAGGTCGTCCAAATACAAAAGTGCACCAGTGTTGCGCCGAGAACGGGACCATGCAATACATACCGGCCAGGGTGGGTACTCGTCATTGGAGTGATGTTGGCGGAATGCGCCATCTCGTGTGCCAGAGAACTGAGAGAGCTGGCCCTAGAATGGCAGTTCGACGAAGGAGCGTCGCAAGAGCTCGTGGAAGCCGACTGATCCACGTCGGATTCGCTGTAGTATGTAGGCTTGGTGTGGGAAGCAGGAAACTTGTTGTCAAGAGCTAGGTGAAGAGAGTAACCGCCCGCATCCCATGGCGTGCGGTTCCGCGGTGCTCTAGCGTCGCTTGTCCGCCTAGAAGAAGCTGTCTTCTCCGGGGACGATGTGGTGATTTGTCTTTGGAAAATCGGTACAGAAGTGGTTTCGAGTGAGTTGTCCCGAATAAATGGCTTTTTTCCCGCCGCTACGTTCAGTAGTGATGTCACGTCCATCGCTCAAGCGCGGACAACGTGGGAGAAGTTTTGTCGCCGAAACGAATCCAGTTTGGCGGTCCCTTGGGGTGGTGACGTGATATGTGTCCCTGAAAGCTCCCTCTTTTACGTCCGCCGGGTATCGTGATGTTCAGTTCGTAATAGTCCAACTTGTAATCCTCAGTTTAGATGTCGAGAACCTGTCTCTTGTTGTCGATGATAGTTATTGGTGAGAAGAAGATAATGTCCGATCTCTAGGATCCAGTCCGATACATCGGATACTCGTCGTCTGTTAAACCCAGGTTGCGAAGGTCGCACAACTAGGGGGACAGGTAGGTAAGGTGACAGTGGTGGGAGGAAGCGTAGGGAAGCGATAAGGTTGATGGGAGATCCCAAAGCTTTTGTGTGTGGCGCCCGGGAGGCGGGCAGGCGACGAGGGAAGGGGAAGGGGTAGTACAGGAGGCGATGACAAGTTAAGAAGCAAACGATAAGAATATCAGACCTATCGTTGGGATCGCCGTTTCAGAGTCGCACTGACAGTTCCAAAAGCGGATTGAAACAGCCGAAACACCTTCAAGTCGCCCAGTGGTGTACTTGAAGGGTCATCCGAAAGGGACTTTAACACCTCTTAGCTTGAACACGCCCTGGCAGTTCGCAGATGTCGGATCGACCTCGAACCGAGAGAAACAGAGCAGAGGAAACAGTGACTTCCTCGTACCGTAGCTGAGGCCCCAAAGCTGTACGATCAAGGGGGGTGACGGGTGGCAGTGTCAAAGTAGGAGACGTCGTGCAGACACGCGAGAGTGGCTTGCCGAACGCTGGTGCGGTTTTTCTAGATTCCTGATGCTCCGAATGCGAGGCTGTTTCC